TGTCCCAAGTCCAGTTCTAAATCAAGACCTGTGTCAAGTTGACTTGTTACTCTTGTGGCAACGAACACTTTGTGCATCAACTGTGGTGACGTTCAATCAGACTACTAGAAGACTAGCAAGTCTCAAGTCTAGTCCTACTTCAAGCCCCAAGTAAAGACCAACAACTCCCAAGTCAAGTCTGAACTCAAGCTTTGAATTATGTCTCAAGTAAAGACTAGAAAGTCCCAAGTCTATTCCCAAGTAGATTAACAACTCCCAAGTCAGGTATGAACTCAAGCCTTAAAACAAGTCTCCAGTTAAGACTAGAAAGACCCAAGTCTAGTCCCAATTCAAGCCCCAAGTGAAGTCACATTTCAAGTGCAGTCAATGAAGTTTAAGTCCAGATCAAGTTACAAGCTTTTGTTTGTTTGTCTAAAGTCATGATGTCCTTTAATTGAATCCCACTCAAGTCCAAGTCATGACTCGAGTCAGTTCAATTCAATTCAATTTTATTTGTATAGCGCATATTTACAACAACAAGTCATCTGATAGCGCTTAACAAAGGCAGAAACACCCAACGATCCAAAACCGGCAGAACCAGGCTCAGGGAGGGACGGCCATCGGCCCGACCGGTTGGGTGGATGTGTTCAGTGTACAGTTAAACGAGTTATTAGCAGTTATTGTCCTTTTGTTTCTCCATTTCAAATGGACCAATGAAAGTCAGTGAGTCCAACATGTCCAGGTTTGTTTGATTTACATGCTGCTTCCTCCTCAGAGAACACGAGCAGAACAACAAGGACGTGGTGGATTTTGGCAGCTGCTGGTGTGGTTCGTAGACGCAGACGTAGACACGTTTCGCTGCAGTTTGTTTAGTTTTCTGTGAACTCGCAGATCTTCGTCTGCAGCAGCGTCTGTGTTTGACTCAGAACACACCTGCTGCATACGCCCACGCGCATTTACTTTATGTCAGAGTGGGTCAAAGGCGAAGGCTTGACCGAGTGTTGCAACACTCAGCCGAGGCTTTGATGGAACACACACACAAACACTCGGCCGGCGCAGCCTTGGCCCTGATAAACGACAAATATCCTGCGCGAGAGCCGCGATTACGGGTTGGACTTTGCTGCTGAGGTCGACAGAAAACAGCACAGTCATTGCAGCGCCGGGAGTCCGTCAGGGGTCCTAAAGGCAGCCCGTGTTTGGGGTTTGTTTCTGACAATAAAACCAGTTCTGAATCTGTACAACATCTGAGCAGCTTTCTGTCTTTATCTCATCTGGGATCGCCTTAAAAAAGACAGACAGACAGACAGAACCAGGCCGGAAACCACAGATCTGCTTCTGCAGCAACTCGAGGCGCCATTAAACAACAACGAGTCGAATAAAAGCAGGTTGTGAGGCTGTCGGGTGAAGTCAGAGCACCACATGAGGCTAGAACGTCACCGGGCTTGGTTTTAAAACGCAGCTCTTGTGTGTTTTTACATGAGGTTCCTTTTTGCTAAATGTCGCTCAGACACAGCACGTCACAGGAAGGTGGCGCCGACGCTCCCAACCCGGTACCGATCAGAACAAACTGGGAGGACGTCGGGCAAATCAAAGCCTCTTTTTGAGACTCCGGGGAGACCACATGAATCAACACTGAACAGCAGCTCTCTGGAATCCCCAAAGCGACCAAAGATGACATCATGGATCAGAAAGATGTCGGTCCTTGAGCTACTCATCCATCAGAAAACGAGCCCAGGTTTCATCAAAGTCACTTTCTTCAACGTCTCATTTAAAAACTAACCAAAAATGAAACGTTTGCAAAAAACTAAAAGAATTCTGCGTTCCTCGGCACAACCAGGAAGACACGACCGACTCAGCTGTGGCCAACGGTCATGTGACAAGAATCCAGGAAGTGCTCGGCTGAACTGCAGGCTGTGTTGTCTTTGTTGTCTTTTCACACCATTTTTGTGTCCTTTTTGCCTCTTTTTTCCAATTTTTGTGCCTTTTCATGCCATTATTGTGTCTTTTCGAGCCCTTTTCCTCTTCTTGGGCCTTTATTTGTGTCCTTTTGTGCCATTATTATGTTGTTTTTGAGTCTTTTTGGGCCATTTTTTGTGCTTTTCACACCATTTTTGTCCTTTTTTCACATTTTTTGTTCCCTTTCATGCCAATAATGTGTCTTTTCGTGCCAGTTTACTCTTTTTCGGCCTTTCTTTGTGTCCTTTCGTGCCATTTTTGCCTTTTCACATCGTATTTGTGTCACTGTGTGTCATCTCTGAGTTCTCTCTCCTCCTTCATGTTGTTCTGGTTCCTCAGAGCTGCAGGACTTCATGTTGCAGAGAAACATGAAGCTCGGTGAGTTAAAAAATGAATAAAGTGATTAAAAAGCTGTCGGGGTTCAGGACTAATCTGTCCATGGTCCTACTGGTGGTTTATTCTGTGAACGAGAAGGTTTACAAAGTCCGTCCTGAAGCGGACGAACAGCGACGCAGGTCAGACGAAGAAGCAGAGAAGTTACCTGAGATCAGGTAGCGTCCGGCCTTGTTCCAGCCGGGAGCCAGTCTGGTGATCAGAGAGTAGGACACACAGCGCTGGAGGTCTCCTGGAAACGCCGGCTGAGGACAGCCCAGCTGCACACACACACAAAACACAGCGTTCACAACAAGACGGAGATGCTCATAACTGTGTCAGCGGTGGCTTGTGTTGAAGACTGAGACTAAATGTGTGGGTCCACCTGCAGGCCACGTCTCCGTCCGAACGCCTGGAGGATTCCTCTCTGGAAGAAAGGAATCTGCAGAGAGAGAGGAAGTCATCCAACAGCCTGCTCGGTGTTTTAAAGCTTTTAATCGCTTCGACGCTGCATTTCTGTCCTCAGAGCAAGTTTATGGATGGAAGCGTTTCAGAACAACAACAACGAGCAGGAAGTCAGCGCCGAGCTCAGGTCGCAAACTTTATGGCGTCCTTTCTCACCCGTTCTGTCGTTTTCAGCCATTGCTGTATTTTTAAAAGAATTTGTGCTTTTCTTTGTCTTTTCACGCCGTCATTGTGTCTTTTTGTTCCATTCTTTGTCTTTTCTTGTTAATTTAGTGTCTCATGGCGCCATTTTTGTGCCATTTTTGGTTTTAATACCTTATTTGTGAACTTTTAGTCTTTTGGTTTTACATTTTTTGTTTCTTTTCTTGCCAATTTTGTCTCATATTTGCACCATTATTGTGTCTTTATGAGCCATTACTGTACTATTTTTGTCTTTTCGTGCCATTTTTTTATCTTTTCTCGTCAATTTTGTGTCTTTTCGAACAATTTTTGTGCCAATATTATGTCGTTTTTGTGTATTTTTACGCCATTTTTGTGTCATTTTTATCTCTTTGTGTTATTTTTTGCATCTTTTTGTTCCCGTGATGTTGTTTTTGCATCTTTCAGCATCGGTTTTTGTCACTCTAGCTGCATCATTCTGCACATTTCAAAGCTCCAGTGATCTGCTTCCATTAACGTGTGCACATCATCAGTCATTTGTGTTTTCATCGTGGTGCTACCCTGATATAGAAGCTGGCTTCATTCAAATCAAACCTTTTCTTTGCCTGTTTTTATGACAAACAAATCCCCAGAAGTGGTGAGTAATAATCAATAACCTGATAACCTCATCATGTCTTAAAGAGTTTATCTGTGGCCTGGATTCACTCAGCGGGACAATGAGAGCACGCTGAGGTCAATGTTTATGTTCAGTGTGTGTGTGTGTGTGTGTGAGTGGTTATACGGGAATGTTTGGAATTCAGACTATTTCGGTTGCATGCAAACACACACATTAGCAACACAAACACACACATTAGCAACACAAACGCACACAGTGTGACAGTGCCGGCGAAGACGGAGACGACTGAGAATCTGTGTTTATGTCGTTTTAGCAGATTTTTGTGTCCTTTTATGTCGGTTTAGTGTATTTTAGTGTACTTTTTGTGTCCTTTCTGTGTCTTTTATGACATTTTAGCAGCTCTTTGTGTCCTTTTTGTGTCTTTTCATGTCATTTGACAGTTAGGAGTTGACGACATCGAGGGCTGAAGCTGTCGTGTGTTTGTGTTTCTTACGGCCATGACCACTGTGATGTCGGTGAAGGAGTCCAGAGCCGGAGAGGCCAGAAGCTCAGAGAACAGCAGCAGCAGCTCCCTGTGGGGACACACAGTCAGAACGCTGCATTCAGGGGAGTCAGGAGAACACAGCGCCGTCCTCCACCGAGCTGAAGCTGGAAAACTAGACACACGAAGCACTCAGAGGTGCAGGAGTCAGCTTTACCACACATCTTGAACACCTCATCATCTCACCCGTCCTCCCTCTTTAACTTTACTCATCCGAGTCCACTCCCATTTACCCACATCCACTCAGGATTCTGTACAAACTGGTGCACTGGTCCTGGGTTTTCAGCGCCGCGTCACTCACCTGCAGGTCTGGATCTGTTTGCTCCGCGCATCCTCGTCCTCCTCCTGAAGACTCAGAGTGACACAGACCAGCTTCTTCAAATCTGGAAGTCGGAGGAAAACCAGGGACTGCTGGACGCCTCCACTCATCCTGCTCACAAACGCACCCAGAAACACTACGATCAGCTTTACTGTCACAAGCCTGCGTCTGGTTTCAGGTCTCAACGAGCTCCATGAAGCTTCGCGTTAGAATACACAGAGACAAAACAGCAAAAGAACTAAATTACAACAAGCACAGTGCAAAAGATAACAGCAACAAACCTGTCCAACACAAGAGTTAGGGCTGAAATGATTCCTCAGTGAATCCATGAAGTGAGTGACAGAAAACGCTTTTTTAAAAATGTGTATGAAGTAACGTGCAAATCAATGATATGATGCCGTTTTCATAATATTCTGCTGTTTACATGTGAGAATGTATTATTTCCTTTGGTTCATATATGTTTGTAGACTAAATATCTTTACCTTTATAACTGATAGTCTCAAAAAAAAAGAGAAAACTGATTAAATGATGATGAAAATACGACTTGCATCCATTTTTATTTTACTGTCACTGACCGATACTTTAGCAAACTGACTGAAATTACAATTTCAGCTAACTTATAATTAATATTACAATATTTTCAACAGACGAGAAACAAGGTTCGAGTGCTGTAATTATTAAGAACAAAATAATAAAGTGTTAAATCGGTCGCTCACCTCTTTGTATCGCCTAAACCCCCCAAAAATCTTACAATTAGCTAAAACGAGCTACCGAAAAGCTAGCAGCCGCTAATGTCGAATTCGCTGACTAATGTGCTTTCTTTAAAAATTAAAAATCTAATTTTACACTAATATCTAAGTCAACAACCTTGTACTCACATGTACAGTAAACTGTTAAAGCTGTCATTTACTATGACAAATCCTAGTTTTACTGCAGCTATTGCAGAAAAAAGGAAATTTGACAAAACAACCTTTGAGGCAGAAAAAATAGTGACTTTAGCCAAAGTTTTCTTTATTTTATGTGATTGTAAGCTAAATAAAAAGATTTAACTGATTAAATGAACATATAATGCTGCTTGCACATCTATTTCAAATAATAGTTAATATGTTGGTTTGGTCTTACCTCGTTGTACCTCCTTGATCCCGAAACGTCTCACAACGAGCTAAAACGAGCTAACGCTACCAAATAGCTAGCGGCAGCTAATGCTAATTTAGCTCACTACTGGACAGATCCGTTTATTTTAGTTTTACATTAATATATGACTCACCATCCTTGTATTCACATTTAAACTGTAGTGCTAGCTGTTACTGACTCTGAGGATTTTTAGTTGGACTGCAGCCATTACTGTGACTCACTGATACTTGAGCTAAATGAGCTGCAGTTTGAGCTAGCCTGTAATGTGAATTACAGGGTAGCTCAAAGTGCTATTTCCATCTAAATCATCCATCATCGGACTAAAATGTACATAATGTGCTGTAATAATGTCCTAAATAATAAAAACAAGAGTTAGTTAAAGTGTTACGTCAGTGTCACTCACCTCTTTTGACTTCTTCGACCAGATAAAGCTTCACTGTTAGCTAAAACGAGCTAACGTCTCCTAGACGCTAGCGGCAGCTAATGCTAAGTCAGCTAACTACTGTGACAGATCAATTTACTGAAATGTACATTAATCTATGACTCACCATCCTTGTATTCACATTTAAACTAGACTGTTAGCTGTTATTTACTCTGAGGATTCTTAGTTGGACTGCAGTTACGACAGAAAACAGACAATTTAACAGACTTCAAACCTCCTAAAATGGTCACTTTTAGCCAAACTATTCTGTTTCATATAATTGTAGGGTAAATATCTTCAGGTTTGTGAGCGTCTGTCCCACAAAGAGAGCAAAATGAATGTTGTATACCTTTTATATTGTTGTCATCTGAACACTTTCAGAACAACAGTGAAGAAATACACGATAAGGAGAAATCAAAGCAGTCAAATCTCCTGACTGCTCCGTAGAGACATGATTTTCTGACACATGAATACAACCATAAAAAACAATAAATCCATGATAATAAATTAATCACAATATTTATTAACACTCAGCAGAAGCCCTGTTGAGCTAAAATCCACAAAAAGAATGAAACTCAAGGTGAAAATAAATGTAGACAAAAACGTATAAAGTTAAGCTTTAATAGACATGGCATTGACATGTACAGGCGCTAAACAATATGAACTTCACTCTTAATATTTCAATGAGTCAGGTTCATCTCTGAAATTAAAGATACTTAGACTTCATATTTAAATATATAATAAATCACACTGTAGGTTAACATGTATTACAGTCAAGCAGAGTAGTATTTCATATACTTTTTAAAGCCTCTAAATCCTTTATATTACAAACAAACAAACGGAGGTAACTGACACTATAAATACCGCTGTTTGCTCTTTACGCCACTCTTATAACTTTTCCTACACAAACACCAAAACCTGTCCACAGGCTCAGAGTCTGGCCGAAGATCCAACATGGCGCCGCCGGAGCAGAACAACCGGATCGTTACGTGACAGGCGGCGCCGCTTTGCGTGACAAGACGTTTTCCTTGAAAGCTGCTGGACTCAAGTGAACTTTAGCCTCGTCTTCGCCCACAGTTCACTGACGACGGACCAGCCGGCCGACCAATCAGAGGCTCCCACAGCCGACGGTGAGGGAGGGGGCGGCCAATAGGAGAGGCAGAAGGACGGAGGGGGCGGGCTCAGCCGCTCCGTATCAGGAACCGCCGATCTCCGTGAAGCATGCGCAGATCAACCCGGTCACACCGCCAGGCAGAGAGCGGAGTTTCAAAATAAAACTAAAGCGCGTTAAATCTGACCTCCAGACGTCACAGAATTAAATTAAAAACAAAATTAAAACATTATTACTATTGTTGCTGTTGTTTAAATTAGTCTGATAAATTCATTAATCATTAAATACTTGGGTTTTTGCATTAAAAGGAATTTTGTGTTTTAAATAATAAATAATGATGTCCATGTCTTTATAATAATGTGTTAGCATAATAGTACTGTCGGGTTTTATCCTCAATATTTAAACTTGTTAGATAAATGTGCATAAGAAACTTTTTTTTGTTACGTCTTTACCGGTAATTTTAAAATATTCAAGTAAATCTGTATTATATAACAATAATATTGTTGATACTACCTTTTTCAGGTATAGGTATATATTATATTATATTGTTTTAATTTTTTTTTCATTGGAAGGCAAATATCTGGAGTTAACAAACCATTATATTTAAATTAGTCGGGTACATTTTAATCTTATAGAATACTGCAGGATAACTGACGTTATTTATATAATAAGTCATGTTTTGGGGGTTTAACCGTAATGTTTAACTTAGTCAAGTAAATCGGTGTTTAAATCAGCACAATACGTTCTCATTATTTTAAAAAGCACTTTATATTAAAGAGTATAAAGCTAAATAAAGTAAAATATATCCTTATTATTATTATTATTATTATTATTATTATTAATAATAATAATAATAAAAGCACTGTTTGCCTACAAGTGAACTGTTTTTGTTGACTCGCAGCTGACCCGCTGGAGGAGAGCTTTATTTTGAAGGCGGCAGCAGGAGTCCGTGTTGAGTTCAGGTGAGTTTACCTGATAAATGGAGCCGCGCTCGGAGTCGCGTTAAGTGGAGTAAATGTCGCTGTGCTTGTGCGGACTCTGCCTCTGTCGGATTATATAACCGGGAGTCCGTCCGTCTGCTCTCAGCGGCTCTTCACGTCCACACAGGCCGACTTCCAGGCGCAGCGATGGGGGAACAGCAGCAGAAGAGTCCCGGCGGAGTGAAATACTTCCGACTGTCGGAGATCGAGGAGCAGAACACCTTCAAGTCCACCTGGATCATCATCCACAACAAGGTCTACGATGTGACCAAGTTCCTGGAGGAGGTGAGCATCCCGGCTCGGTGTCAGGACGGTTCTGCAGCGCGCAGCTCCGCGGCTCAGTGCAACCAGGAAATGCAGCAGCCCGACCGGGTTCTGACCCATAAGAGCTCCGGTTCACACCGAAAATAAGTTCGTGTGTGTGCAGCGGGAGCTGCGTTAGAGAAGCGTCTTCATTGGCTGAAGCCTGGTGGAAGGTGAAGCGCTCAGGCTGCCAGTGGAAGGCCTGAGGGTCGGTCCAGACCCAGACAGGAAACTGGTTCAGGCTTCACTCGTGTGTTCATGTAGACCAGAAAAACAGCTGAGCTGAGTTTAGAGACTTGTCTGAGTGTTAGAGGCTCCAGCTCCTCCTTCAGTCCAACCAGCTCCTGTTTTAATGTACGTTTCTGAGTTTTGTTCATTTATAATTAACTGAACTTCAAAAGTCTCGTTTTTATTCTGAGACGACTTTGACTTAAAATAATAAGTTCATAAGTTAAAATCAACTTCCCAGCATGCATTGTTGGAGAGTTAAAACTCCACGAGTTCAGTTCGGTCACCGCGACCCGTCCAGTTAATCTGTCACACTTCAGAACTCGTGGTTTGTTCTCTGGATGCTTCTCCTGCTGGAACACTGTTTGTCTTGAAGCGTCTGCAGACAGGAAGTCGTCCTGTCAGCATGTGTTTAGGTTCATCATCGGACATTCCTGGTTCGTCTATAAATGTTATCTCTCACCTCCGAGCTTCGCTGTCAGGACTGTGTGGTTGTCCCAAAGAGACACAACATGACCACAAAGAGACAGAAGATAACACAAAAACAACAGCCAGTGTGAATGGCTGGATGGCGCCGGTCTCCCAGCAGCTGAAGCTCCGTGCACTCGGCTGCTTCGGGCCGTGCAGAGTTCAGGTTGTGTGTTCAGAGGTCTCTGGGCAGGAAGCCCGACGATGACGTCACAGCTGCTCTGGGTCCAGATGTTTCAGGGTTCACTGCAGGTCACGGTGTCCTCTGTCACTCATTGCCTCCAACTGGGGTCAAGCTGAGCACGTAGGAGAGTGAAATAATAATAATAATGAAAGGTGAGCACGCTGACCACCACGCTCACATTATCCAGGATTTAGAGGCAGCACTGTTTAAAACAAGATGTAATTTGATAAATACAGTCATGGAAGAACTGATCAGACCTCCTTGTTTTCTTCAACTTCCTGTTCATCTTAATGCCTGGTAGCACTAAAGGTTCATCTGATGATGATAACAACAACAACAGCTGATAAGAGTTTAATCTCAGAGCTGATACCAGACGTGTTCCAGGGTTTCCTTGATAATAACCAGATCCATCCCATGTGTTCTGGTCTGTCTGCTTTAGTCACATGACACACAGGAGTTAGTTCTTGATGGCAGAACCGTTGTTTCTGATGACTGCAGCCATGCGGCTCGGCTGCTCTCCACCAGCTTCTGACATGATCTGGTGACTGAGCGGGCCCAGGCACGGGTCCAGTGTTCTGGTTCTCCATCCAGGCTTTAACATCGTCTTGTTGGAAAATCCAGTCACTGGAGGCAGGAAAGAGTTTCCCAGCTGATGGAAGAAGATTGTTTCCAGAGTCGCCTGCTTCATTCATCCTGTTCCCCCAAACTGGAACCAGCCCAGATGGTCCCTGATCCACCCCCATGTTCTACTGTAGGGCAGGACAGTCTGGTCTGGAGGCTTCTCCAGGTTCCTCCTCACCAGGAAGTGGGCTGGAGTGGGCATCAGCTGAACATTGGGTTCATCCCTGAAGAGAACCTGAGCCCAACCATCACCAGTCCGGTCCCTGTGGTCCCAGCAGAGAGGAACCGGGCTTTCCTCTGCCTTTGGTTGATGAAGGGCTTCTTCTGTCCTGTGTGACTTCAGACCAGCTTCAACAAGTCGGTTTCCAACAAGTCCCATGTCTCCACAGTGCCCCTCATGTTCAGGTCCCTGGAGGTCTGACCACGACTCCTGACACAGAACAGATGAGTGCTCGGTCCTCTGGTGGGTAGGAAGACGTTTCCTGCTGCCACCAGCTAGCGATGTGGCAGCACCATGGTGGGCTGGTTGTTTCTTGGTGTGATGAACGTCTGTCTTGGAGATCTTCAGGTTCTTCTCTACCTGTCTCTCACTCATGCCAGTTTCCAGCAGAGCCAAGATGGCTGCCTTTGTGGCTTCACATAATCCTTCTGTTTTAGGCGTTATGTGAGAGCTGACAGCTTCTGAGCTGTGCTACGGCCTGAATGTCAGCAGGAAACCAGTCCAGGTCTTTGCATGTGCTGCTGATGAAACGGCCTCTTATGGACCCTACAGGGAACACATGAAGCTGAAGGTAATGGACCTGTAGTGGTGCCAGGCATTAACATGAAGAAGAAATGGAAGAAAACAAGGAGGTCTGATCGTGTTTCCCGTCACTGTGGAGTTTGTAGAGAAGCTGTTTGAGCTGGAAACACGTCGTACTTTGATTTGGACTAGAGTGACTCAAATGGTCCATAATGACAGAAAATGTTTTCATTTAAACATCTTTTGAATCATTTTGAACTAGTTTGAACTAATGTGGGCCAGTTTGAGTCAGTCTGGACAAGTTCGAAGTTATAAATCGATCGATCGATCAATCAATCAATCAAAAACTGTAAAATGTGATCTGTGACATTATTTGAAGGAACAATTTATTTTGAAAACTGGCGAGTAGTTTTAAAACACAAATTTTTATCATTTATTTTACAGATTTTTCCAGTTTTAATAAATTACAGATAAAATCCAGTAAAATTTATTATATTTGAAAAATACGGAGTAAAAATTAAACGATTAATTTGTAGAAATCAGTTCTTTCACAGTGTGCGACTGTAAAACCACAGAAACAGACATTATTTTACAGATTTTTACTCTTTTTGAACATTGCTGGTGATTTTCTCTGACTCCATCCCGAGTCGTCCAGGTGACTCGTCGTAGCTTGACAGGAAGTCGTGGGTCATTCACAAACGGTCTGATGGTTGTGGTTTCCTCCGGCAGCACCCCGGCGGGGAGGAGGTCCTGAGGGAGCAGGCGGGCGGAGACGCCACCGAGAGCTTCGAGGACGTCGGACACTCGACGGACGCCAGAGAGATGTCGGGCGACATGGTGATCGGAGAGGTCCACCCGGTCAGTGGGGAGGACGGGGCGGCGCCGGGGGCTCGGTGCTGAGAGTCCACAGCGCTGACTGTGTTTTCTGTGTGTCTGTTTGCAGGACGACCGACACAAGCTGGTGAAGCCTGCGGTGAGTCTCAGGACGGGAATCGGACCGCTGGAACCGACCCAGTCTAACAAAGTTCCCCCCGAACATCCTCACAACCAGCTGGTCCTCCATCCTCAGTAGCTTTATTAATGACCAGAGTTCTACCTTCACACTGTGAATGTTCCACAGGTCCAGGTCCTTGAAGTCCACAGAGGAGGGTCCACATTGATCCCTTTAATGGACTTTCTCCATCATTTCTGAGCCTCAGAACTTCATCAGAACATCAGATAGACACATGACATTTAGCAGGAAGAACACATCTGGGTTCTGATAGAACCTGACACCAGATCAGTTCTACATCATGTCCATTAGATGATCCTGGTAGGTTCTGGAGGTGAAACGGTCCTTCCATCGTCTAGAACTGGTTCTGACCAACCACCATCACACATGCTGACAGGAGCCTGGAAAGTTTACCCAGAATGCACTTTGTAGAGTTTTCTCTGGTGAATGATCAGAACCAGAACCACATCCAGGATACCAGGGATGCTTCCACCACTCTGTGTCATAGACATTAGACCAGGGGTGTCCAATCCTGGTCCTCCAGGGCCACAATCCTGCATGTTCTAGATCAGGGGTGTCCAGTCCTGGTCCTCCAGGGCCACAATCCTGGTCCTCCAGGGCCACAGTCAAATGATCAGCTCATCATCAAGCTCTGCAGAAGCCTGATGACGATCCTGATCATTAGAATCAGGTGTGGTGGAAGAAGGAAACATCTAAAACATGCAGGACTGTGGCCCTCCAGGACCAGGACTGGACACCCCTGCATTAGACTGTTCACACTATGAGACATCCCATAATACTGATGCTACCAGCTGGTTGTCTAGGAAACGTGGTGGATGTAAACATGTCAGCTGAAGGTTTGATCCTGTCAACGAGTGAATCTGTTTGTTTTACAGGAAAGTTATGTGACGACCCTGAAGGACGAGAACAGGTAACCAGACACACCGACTTAGTCAACTAGTTAACCCACACGCCTTAGTTCACTGTAGTAGTTACCTGGTTAGCTAGTTAGTTAACCAGGTAACTACTACAGTTTGTCAACTAATTTACTGTATCTCCCTTGCAGTTGGTGGTCGAGTTAGTTAGTTCTTTGGTTAGTTAGTTAACAATCTGTCCTTTGTGCAGCGAGTGGTCCAATTAGAAGTTAGTTGGTTAGTTGATTGGTTGGATAGTTAACCATCTGTCCTGTGTTGCAGCAGGTGGTCTAGTTAGTTAGTTAGTTAGTTAGTTAGTTAGTTAACCGTCTGTCCTGTGTTGCAGCAGGTGGTCTAGTTGGTTAGTTAGTTAGTTAGTTAGTTAGTTAGTTAGTTAGTTAGTTAACCGTCTGTCCTGTGTTGCAGCTGGTGGTCCAACCTGGTGATTCCTGCCCTGGTGGCCGCCATCGTCACGCTGCTGTATCGCATCTACACGTCCAACTGACATCATCAGACATGCAGCTGTGATGTCATCAACAGGCACTACATTTACGTTTCCCAGCGTCTGATTGGCAGCCGCAGCGGCCAATAGGAACGTGAGGCTGCTGTGGCTCCTCCCAGCGTAGGAGGTGTTCGTGGAGCAGACGAGGATCGGCGTCCCCAGAGGAGGCGTCTGTTCCAGGACCACCGACTCTACGCTGCTTCTGCCTTCAATACCCACAATTCATTTCAGCCTGTTTAACCAATCACATGGCATTATGCTAATGAAGTCATTTATCTCGTTGAATTTAAAACACTGATGTTTTATAGAATCTCTGTGATTGAAGTCGTGTACAAATGCAGTGGATGTATAATTTGTTGTTGTTTTTGTATCTTTGTACCTGAATGTAAACGCAGCCGCGCTCAGCTGTGCACTGATCCCAGAGTCTGGATGTGAATCAGCAGGAAAAAGTGAAATCTGAGTTAAAAAAAACAACAAAAAATCAATCAAATCAGCTTTTGTACTTTCCAACAAGCTGCAGCTGCTTCAACAAGCGTTTAAATCCGTCTTTATGTCTCCTGATTGCTGCATTCTGACGCTTTAGTAACGACGGACCGATTAAACAGACAGCGTTGGGTGTCTGAATATGTCCTCAGGCTTTAAAAAATCATCCAGGAAGAACAACAACGGAAAGAAAGAAAAATGCACCAAATTTGCCAAATCCTGTCCGACTGCCTCCGAGCTGCTCGTCTAGAGCTCGTCACAGCTAGAGTTCAGCAGATTTAGTCGTTCTCGCCTTAAAGAGTTTCAGCTCAACAGCAAACCGGCAAAAAGATGCAAATAAAATGCGAAACAGACAAAAAGTGCACGAAAAGTTCAGCCTCTGACTCGATGCAGCTTTCTGAGACGAGGTTTTAGATTCTCACTGCTGGATCAACTAGAAGTGCCTTTTCAAGGTCAGTCTGAGTCCTTGTTCGCAGCAACATCCACACAGCAGCTGTGACGGGTCAAGGACCAGAACCAGAACCGGACCTGCTCCAACCAGCTTGTCTATGCAATAAAAGTGATTCACTCAAAGCATCCGTTGTTTGTGTCCTGATGTTTGTCTTTAGCTCAGATTGATGCAAAAACCTGGTAAAATAGGTAGAATGAAGGAAGTTAAATGTAGAACTGACCAATGAATACGCCAACACGTAATAAAGGATCATTCCGTATAAAATCTGAACAAAGTCCATCTGACCTCCTCAGAATCAGCTCATTCTTTATCTACAGTAACTTTACTTAGTTTTACCTTCATACATATTTTCAGAGTTTCAGGTCCAGTCTGACTTGATTTTATTAACATCTTGTAGTGACGTTGAGACGTACAGCTGAAACCAGAAGTTTACATCCACTCTATAAAAAGACATCAAACCTTCTTTCTCTCACC